TTTACTGTATGTCAAACACAAAGCCGCCTCGGTTCTCCTTAAAAAATAGTCTCCTATATTAAAAAAAATGTTCAGAAAAGCTTTTCTAATTTATACATTGTTTTTTTCCTTTTCCAATTTCTGTACAGTGCTTTGTTCTAGAAAAGAGATCACTAGCCTAGACTACATTCTAATTGTTTTTCCTTTAGTGTGGGCAGTCTGCTTTATTTTGTGCATAAAATTTGTTTTTAGCCATTACATGTTCTTACCCCTTTTGCGAAATTGAATTGTGATGTTATGATAAACATTGGATTGTCACTCGTATTAGTCATCTTTCCGTTGTAACAAACACTGAGTAACTCAAAAGAGGAAGGGATTTTTGGCTTATGGTATTGGAGGTTCAGTCCTTGGTTGGTTTACACTGTGGCACGGCAGCACGTTGTGCTGGGGAGCACATGGTGGAGCAGGACTGCTCCCCCCGGTGGCAGCTGGAAAGCCCCAAAGAGCAGAGCCTGGAATCCCCGTGTCCCCTTGAAGGGCACCCCAGATAGTCTCACTTGCTTCCACTAGGACCCCTTCTGACTTTTGCTGTACGTCCCAGGCCTGCAGATGCGCCTGTACCACACAGCCGCTCGGGAACACTTAGGTAACCTCAGCATCGTCTAGAGGCGTGCCTTTCCTTGAATTTAGTCTGGATTTTTATTGCTCCTCAGATTTTTAACTCTAGAATCAGCAAGATATCTATTTTAGAAGTTGTACAGTTTTTTTCAGAAAATTTTGAACAAATAAAATTTGAAATTAAAGAACAGAATTAGTCTTGTTTCCCTAGTGATGAAATATGGCAAGGTTGTAACATTTGTGTTTATTGTGAAAAAGAGTTCAGGCAGAGAAAAGTAGACATTTTCCATCACTCTAAATGTTTGCATATATTGCATAAAGGTATGGTCTATCCATTTAATAAAGTAAATAGGTTCACTGGTTGAAGTTGTTGGCAAAGTCCCACCTGTAGAATGTACCAAGTTGTTAGTGAAATGTTGCTGAAATCCTAATTGATGTGGTTTCTTTCTTTCTTTTTTTTTTTTTTTGTAAGTTGGCTGCTGAAATGGTTTGCTAATAATGCTTTATTATACCGTTGTTTCACAATGTTTTTATTTTGATTGGGGCTGAAAACTCTAGAAAACAGTTTTTAAATCAACAATTGCTTTTCATACACCTCTTTGACCACTGAAATAAAAGTATCATGTATTCTGTCAAGTCAATTATGTTAAAGTACTTTTTTATGAAAGCATGGAGAAATAATATAAATAAATGTTAGATTTTCATTCTGTCGGATCCATTTAAGGGAATGTAAGTGAACTAAGGCATTGGATTAACTGGGTTTTTTCCTTGTCTTTTATAAATATGCGTATGATACTGTGTGTATTTGTTGTCATTTATCATTTGTTACTTGGTTACTTTGAACCTGCTGAGCTGTGCCATTTTTTAAGTTGGGATGTTTGTTTTTCATGAAAGTTTCCAACTGTTTTTTTTTTTGTTTTGTTTTGTTTTCCCCTGCTGTTCCTGAGTGGTTGGATTGTGAAGATAAAGGGGTTCAGGAGACTTCAGTGTCCTGTGTCATTACTGCCTGGTCCTGCTGGGCCTCCCTCCTGTGCCCACGTGCACGGGGTTGGTGGGGTTGGGGTGGGGGTGGGGTTAGGCTGCAAGCCTTCACCTGGCAGGTGTGTCATGCCTGGCAGGGAGATTTTCATAGAATGCCTGTCTTGTCACCTGTTTTCCTAAGGCACTTTGTCCACATGGGGTCCCTCGTTCAGTTAGTTGAGCAGGGATAGTCCTGAGTTGGAGGATGATGTGAAGATGGGAAGCTAGAGAGAAGGACTAGAGTGGCGGTGAGTTCCAGGTACAGAAATCTGCGTGCAACTTAATTTATTTTTAATATCCTGAGAGATACGGGAATGTATAATAGAATTGTCAAGTGCTAATGTTTTTGGCAAAGTGCTGCTGCCAAAATTATCTTTTTGTTGTATTTAGACATAAGCAGGTGTCCTTTTATTGGGGCCATTAGTACCCTTTGAATATCATGACTATCTAAAGGCAGTAGTGTAGCTGTGTCCATCACAGCCTGATTCCGTGGTAACGCCCAGTGACCCCCAGCAGGGATCCAGAAGCTCTGCCTGCTTAAGTGGGCGAGCTGTGACTGCACTTGCTCAGGGATGCATGACCCACATCACCTATAAATTTGATTGGAAGCTCTGGAGCCGGCATAGGCTGATGGATAGCAGATTAGAGCCCTGATCAACCATGTGATTCGGAGACTGGGAGTGTATTGTCTAAGCAAGATTCATCAGATGCAATCAGCATTTCAAGTGGTCAGATGAAATTCAAATGTGTATTGTGGCTTTTCCTCCCCTACTGCTTTTCCTTCTAAGTTGCAGGGTTTTTTTCTCCCTCCTCTTTCCCCAAAGCTGAAAAATACTTCTTTGATGAATCTGCTCCTTACCCTAAAGCTGTCTGTCTGTTATTCATCAGAAAGCAGGTCGCAGTTCAGTGAGCAGAAGAAAAGATTTTAATAGAAGCTGTGCCAAGGGCTGTAATGCATCATTTCAGGGCCCTAATTACATTACAATGACAAATATCAATGGTGACAACAGCAATAACCTACATCCTTTAATGGCTGTGCGGGAAGAGGAGTTTGGGCCCCACGCCATCAGATTAGACTCAGTTTCAAAACACAGCCATTAGGAGTGCAGTCCACACTATTATGGGCTGATCGCTGGAGCCCGCTGGAAGGGCCTGTAAGTAAATGATGCCTCCCTAGAGCTGGGCCCTGTGGGACAAAAGAGGAGGCAGAATTAGATGACCATGGGTGCGCAGTGTTTCCGAGGCAACTTTAGCTTTCAAAGTGAGGAATGACCCGCTTAATTTTATGAAATCACACACAAATCCCACCCCTCCCGCTGCCAATTAGCCCGTCTGTGAAAATCCATTGGCATGACAACCTCAAGAAATTAAGAAGTCTTTTAAACAAAAGGAGACCTTTAAAGGGAAAGTTAGGTTTCTGTCTTCCTTTTTCTGTGATGTGTGTGTTGCCATCCATGATTCACTCTCTGGGCATTCCTGCTTTTTACATTTGTTTTTTGTTAAGATACACGGAGTGTTTTTCTTTGAAGAGTTGCTGAGACCAAAAATGATGTAGGTCCCAACTTGAGGAACCAAATAACTTTTGGACTTTATTTTGCCAAATGAGTAAGCTTCCCTCGTGGTTTGTATTGCCTAGATTGTGTAGGCAAACTACAGAGCTGAGTTTTGTTCTGTGCCCACACGTTTTTCAGCCCTCCTAGCAAGGGACTATTTTATTTATGTAAACAACATAATGAGGCAAATATGCTTGGCAGATGGCTCTGAGCCTTAGACTCGGCAGACTGGTTTGCCCCAAAGTGTCTCATTATCTTTATTCTTCCCCCTCCGCCTCCCTCTGCAGAAAGCTTAACAATCAAATGCCTTTGAGCCGCTCTGAGCTTTCAGCCTCCTGAATGCTACTCTGTTTTCTTGGCTCATCCTGGAATTTCACCCCATAACACTGTGGTGTGTTCCTCCAGGTGTAGAGTGATTTGGTGATTCCCTTTGCAGACTTTCATGGTGGTTTAAGCGTTCTTAAGGGTAGCTGAGTGCTCTGAGGGGCCAGTGCCGTGATAAATTAAATCAGGTCAGCACGGTTGGGTCCTTACTTGGCTGCCTGTCCCTGCTCAGTGCAGGCTGGAACAGAAAGCTTAGGTTTGGAACTTCCAAGTTGAAGTGGTGTTTTCTGTGGGTTAGCAAAGTTTTTAAGGTGTTGGCGTTTAAAAGACCTCATAGCTCCAAAGTCAAAAAGGTCACTGATGAAAAAGCAGGAAGGCCAGATTTCATAAGGAGTGTCACTGTATAACATACAAAGAAAAAGAACATTTTTGGTCTCTTACCTAAGGAGCCACTGACCTTGGATGGAGTTTAAGAACAACTTGGGAAGAGTAATTATGTTTTCTGCCTTTTAATACTTCTTACCTCTTCTTTCCCCACCAGTCATTAAAATATAAGCTACTTTGTGTGTGTGCTTGTGTACGAAAGTATGTTTACTTATCTTGAGGTATATAACCCACCATTTGAAAATAAAAATTAAAGTGAACATTAGTAAAGCTCTGGGTAGCTTTTGAGAGAAAACATCTAGTGATTATGTTTTTCTTGCTCTGTTTTTTAAATGTAGTGATCATATCCTATTAGCATAAGATTTCTACACTTGCAAAAATTATTAGAGAATAAATTTTGTCTTCTGACATTGTGGGGACTTTTGCAGAGCTATGGTAAACTATAATGTTCTCAAGAATGATCTCCAGATAGACTTAGATTGCTTTCTGGTAAACATAGTAAGATTTTACCATGTCCCAAATGTCTATACACTGTGTGCCCTGATGGGCCACATTTGGAAAGCTTTATGGTTGAGAACGTCCCACTGGTCACCAGCTTGTAACTTGCAAGAATCTGAGCACATCAACTTCTTTGGCTGACTAAGTTCTGTGTTTTCAGGTTGGAAAGTTATGTGTGAAGTCCTGGTGATATATATAAAGGAAAGACTATAGCATAGAAATCCAGGGAGTCAGTAATGGAAGGAGTTAGGATGTAGGGAAGAAAAATGCCTGTTTAACCTCAGGGCTTAGGATTTTATGAAAAACAACATTACAATGGGCAGGCATCCTGATGAAGGCTTTTGGAAGCTGACTTCCACTTTGAAAGTCAAATTCCTTTTTATATTATCCTAGTGCTTGAAGGTTAACTTTTTAAAGACGCATGCTGCCTAATAAATTGTGCTATTAATGCGGCACTGTTGTCAGGGCTCCCAAAATGGGCTTGCTGATGAGATAGTGTTCCCCTTCCTTAGGAAGCACACCACCCAGAATACAAAGTGTGTTTTCATATCATCCTGTTAATATCGCGGAAACCTGTAACCAGCTGATGGTTCGCTTATTGCTTTCCTCTCTTTTTTTTTCCAGGCAGAGATTGTCAAGAGGCTCAATGCTATCTGCGCACAAGTCATTCCTTTCCTGTCCCAAGAGGTAAGGCAGTTCATTTCAGACTCTGGGCTGGAAGTCGCCATGCTAGTGCTACAGAGAAAAGAGATTGTGGGCTTGACTCTGGCCTTGGTGTTTATGTTTCAGGTTTCCAATATACAGTGGTCTTGTTCCAACTTCTACACCTTCTTAGCGATCAGTGTCATGCACTTTGAGTGTGTTTATGTAATGGAATATTTTTCTAATGTGCTAAGCAAAACTCAATTGTTAAAATGTTGTGCTGTCGTGATATGATGTAGAGCTGCTGAGAATTATGCTGTTTGTCATGGTGACATCTAATAGGAGAGACAGAAAGACTGCCAGGGAGACAGGAGCTTGTTCTGCACTCGTGTTAGTGGGCTTTGAGAGTCAGAAGAAGGAGCGAGAGAAGGACCTTCCCCAGCAAAGGAGCTAACACAACTTCCGGCTGGCTGCTTTTCCAAAGTTACTTGTTCTTACCTGATTAAGTCCTTATGCTGCCTTTGCATTTGGGAAAAGAAATGAAAGCTGGACTCAATGGGCCCGTTTCTCTGAGTGCCATTTCTCTCGGAACGAGGCTTCGTGGACAGGGCCTCACAGCTGCCCTGGGCGGGCACGGGGTGCCGTCAGCAGAGGAACGTGGGTCGGAATGAAGACCTGCGTTTCCAGGGTTGATGGCTATCCCGGGGCTTCCTTTTCCTCTCTGCCTGCCGCCCTTGGTAATCATGCAGTTTAGGGAGAATACTGACTAGAGATGGGTTTCCGCTTCTGGATTTCTGAATCGCTTGCTTGGATGTGATTGGCTGTTGAGAAAAGACTCCCATCACTGCTGCACTCCCCACATGTCTTGCAGGCACAGTGCTGTGTGTGGTGAGACCAGAAGGCACCGAGGTGCTGCCTCCCTCCTTTGCAGTTCTGTGTCTGGCCCAGTGCTGCCTTTTGGGAGCACTATCACCCAGCTGCATAGCAGTGGGCATGCGAGGGCACACCCAGTATTGGAGCATGCGTGTGTATTCCAGATATGCAGATTGCTGTCTGTGACTTCCTCTGTGGTCTGAGCTGTGGTAGGCTTGACTACCCGTGGGTGCCCTTAATTGATCATATCCTAGGGAACGGCATATTTCATATTCACACGCTTAATTTACATGCTCTGCTGGCTCACAAAAAAACCAAAGCTCTTTCCTCCTTTCAGCTGTGCCTACCAAGCCCCCACCCCTCTCATCCCTATTTGCCTATTTTTACTTAGGATTTGCTTGCCTCTGGATTAGATGGTATGGGAGTGAGAGTGTCAATGGACGCGTTTGCATTTCTGTAGGGAGCCCTGCTGACCTTTGCCTGGTCCAGACCAGTGTGTGTTTCTTACTTTAAGCAGCTCCTCTGCTGTGAGGAGCTGGAGAATGGGAAGAATGTGGGAGAGCGGAGCTTCAGTTAACCCAGCTAGGATGTCACATTGCAAGGTAACAGGAAGAAGTTAGAATTCTCCCGGGTGGTGTTAGACTTTGCGCGTTTGTAGGCCCAGAACTCTCTCTAATTATTGTGACAGCTGTGTCCCCACAACTCATCTAGAGGATCTGTGGGTGACACTCAAGAGTGGAAGGAGGTCTCTGGGGTGTAAGCAGAGCTGATTGCCCATAAGTCCTTGTGTCTCCCGCCACCCCCCAGTTAATGTTGTTGTGTGAGCACGCCCAGTAGGAGTGGCATGCACCATGGTGGTGCTGAGCACAGTGAAACTGGAATTCACTGGCTGAGGAAGTTGGCCCTTTAGAGGAGAGCCTGGGGACCTGCTGGCCACTCCCGGTGCTTCTGGCTGGACGGGTCTGTTGTGTGCCATCACGTAAGCGTTTATCTCCCTAACACTTGGACATTTCTCAGCAAAATCTGGATTCACATAGAGTGACTTGCGTCAAAGCTTCCTAATATGTGCTCACTCTGGGTGTATTTTTTTTCCGCCTGTTACTCTGGATTTAATTGGCTTTTCTTTTCCAAAGTCCCTAGGATGTGTGTCTTTTCATATGTGGGCCACACATGTGTCTGTGGCAGTCAAATCCTGACCTTTCTGAGGTTTTGTGTCTCTGCACGGTGTCCGCTTGGTTCCTCTTCAGGGCTTTCTGTTAGCATCCCTGAGGCCAGATGGGCTGCGATGTGGAGGGCGGGGAGGAGGCAGGTTATTAGAGGAAGATGAATTCCATTTCCTGTCCCTTCAGAGGCAGAGGAAATCACTCTTGCATGGCTGTGTGTCTCGCGGTGCCAGGACTCAAGGTTCTTAATCTGATCTTTTAAGACCAGCACTCAGTGTGACGGTCTCTCTGCCAGAAGGGCAGCTGTAGCATTAGAATTGATTTTAAGATGCTTTTATTTAAAATGAAATGATCATATTTAGAAAAAGGAAAAAAATACTGTCTGAGGACTTGGACATAAGCTATAGGACAGTGATTGGAGGAAACTTGAGCATCTGAAAGCCAAGCGTTTTGGAGTTTTCGACAGAAACAAGGTAAACTTACATATGTCTAGATGAAGTAGAGTTTTAAATTTAGACCCTATGTGCAGATTAGTGTGCCTGCTTAGTATTATTTATGTGTGATTGGCTGCATTTTCCTGACTTAAAAATTCCCATATAATACTGAATGAGAGTGATTAAATTTTTAACTGTACAGCTTTTTCCTTTAGGAAATAAGTTACGTAATTGTAGCTCAAATGAATCTCAAGGATCCCTTATCTGTGTATAAAAACCACACGGAAAAGTTTTAAATTTTTCAATCACTTTAGAGCACAAGTATATTTTAATGATGTGCTGTTGCACTTGCATGCAGTATGTCTGTCTCCAAGGTCTTAGGCATTAGAGAAGAAACAAATCACCGCTACTTGAAGTGCTTAGAATTTCACAGGATCCCTACTGTCAGCTTTCATCTGTCTGAGGCTATTTTTTGCCCTCACTTGTTTTTGGCGGCTAGAAATTGGTAAGAGTGGTCTGTATTCTCCTATCACAGCTCTTCAAAAAGCACAACTCAGGAGTAGTCCTGTGGGTGACTCTGCTGTCTCCCAAACTGGGTCTCATTTACAGCAGAACTGTGGAGCCCACTCGGAGTTGGCAGTTCTGTAAACAAAAGAGGCCAGGACACTGGCAGCGAGGTTTGGGTCGAGTTTTTGCTTCGCTCTTACAGATTGTTCCGCTTGCTCTAACCGAGCTGGCTGCATGCCTTTTAGTGAGATCTTTGTTTCTTGAAGCCTTAATTTCCTCAACTGTGGGATGGAATTAAGAATAGCATTGAATGAGGATTACTCTGGATTATACCTGGGCGCTTCAGCACATAGTAGGTACCCTCTGCTGCTGACTGGTAGTCCTAGCTGGGGCAGCCTCATCTTCTTTGGGGAGGACCTGGAACTTACTCTACCGTCCCCTTTTAATTTGCCTTTTGGAAAAATATAAATTTGTTGTCTTTCTTTCAAATGTTCTCCTAGAGGAAAAATGTGAATTAAACTGAACCTAGAGCTCTGAGCTAGCTGGTTTTCATCATCAGGCTTTGACTTGTATCCTGAGTCCTTATGGGTGCTCAGCAGAATTGAAGGATGCCATTAGAAGCTGCCTCTGCACCCCAATGCCAGGAGCACAGCCTTTTAAGGTGAATCTAATGCAGTGGGAAATGCTGTACCACTCTTACACGCTGGCATTTCTGCTGATTTGACATTGGGTTAGCGCTGCTTCTCTGCTGGCTTTGTGTTGGAAGGTTGATCTCTGAGCCTTGGTGTTGCTGTAGAGTGAGAAAAATAACTGTCTTTATACTGTGTGTTCGTATGTATTGTATGCAAAGTAGCTGGCATAATAAATGCCCTTTCTTCTTCCCTCCCTTGCTATTATACTTAAAAAAGGTCATATTCCAGGTTAATTTAGTCCTGAGACATCCGGAGAGAAAGAGCTCAGTGAAAGGTAGGCAGAGTTGAAGGGAATGTCTCGGAATGGGCTGGCTAGTGGACCTCTCCCTGGGCACTCCAACAGTGGGCAGTTAGCTCTGCACGGTTACCTTTCAGAAAGATGGGATTTTAAATTTTTTTTTTTGTAAGTCAGTATGTGTGTTAATCTGTTAGGTTAAGTGTTAGATTTCAGATGCTAGGTTCTGGGTGTGATCTAGCGTGGGGAGCACTTGTGCAGTATCATGGAGATTATTCCCTCCCCAGAAGGGTCATTTTGGAGACAGGCAGCGTTATATATGCTTTGCAGTAACCAGTAAGGTGTTCCAAAGACTTCTGAGAACTTTAGACTCCTAGTAGGCTGCAGATCGATAGGGGAAATTTTTACTACAATTTTTAATTGAAAAATCTCTCCTCTGCACAGTTGTATTGCTTTTAGAAACCCATGACTGTGATAAGGAGCAGAGCTCATTGGGAGAGTCCCATGAGACACAGGGTGGGGAGAGGAGCCTGCAGCCAGCCAGGTCCACAGCCACGTCTTGGAGCAGCCCCGTGCTCCTTTAGCGTTGAGCAGCACAATTTCCTTCCCTGAGGGCCTTCGCCGGTGGATGGTGGTGCCAGGGTTCATGGTCAGGTAAAGGACCTAGCTGGACATTCGACTGGACTGGCAGCGATCAGTGAAGCAGCAGTTTAATTAGGATGAGAACTTGCTTCTCCCTCACACGCTGACCTAGAGAAGCTGTGCTGGTTTAGTGCCTTCCCCGGTACTGTGTGGATGTTTGTGGTATCTCAGACCATCCTGTTTCACCCCAGCTGGCAGGAAGGAGAAAGGAGAGGACATGATCTCTCCTGCTCAGGGGATGACACTGAAGTGCTATGTTCTTGCCCCCTTTGCAGTGTCTGCCCCCTGCTAACTGCGGGAGACTTGGAGATGCAGTCTTAGCTGAGTGACCAGCATGCCCACCTAAAGCTTGGGTAAAACGGGTCATGTCAGGAAACAGCTGGTCATCATGTCTGTAGTGCTATGTGTGGAAGCAAATGGCTGTTGTTACTGTCATTGCAAAGCTGTGTCTTTACATGACTGTGTAGTCCCTCTGACTGTGTAGTTAACCAGCTCACAG